GGCAACCAGCTATCCAACAAGGCCATGAAACTTTCAGAACTGACCGTGCACTTGCATTAGAAGATGGGCCTTTGGAGTTTTCCAAAAGAAAGAAACGCAAGCACAAAGAGCAGAAGCAATTATCGAAGGCCACTCCATCAAATGTATGTGCCTCAGTGGCTGCTTTACTGACAGCTATGGACAGCTGGCTGCCTGGGCTTGCTTATTTGAGAAACATCTGTAGAGCACCTGTCATGGGCTGAGCCCTGGGTGCGGCACTGGGACTTCAGGTCTGAATGCACGCATGTGTGCTGGAGCTGCGGGCGGGAGACAGATGAGAGCACAGCTCCTTGTGATGGCTGCTGCTTCAGGGGACCAGCACTGCATTACTGGGCCTGGGTAAGCTTGAGCTTACATTTTACTTGGTTGTGCTACTTCAAGTGATTCTTAAAGTTGAACATTTTATTTTGAGGTAATTGTGGGCTATATGCAGTTGCAAGAAATAACAGAGATGCCGTGTCCCCTCAATTTTCCCAGTAATATCTTGCAAAACTGTAGTATGTACAATATCACAATTAGGACTCCAACACTGATACTGTCAGGGGACAGAACCCCCCTGTGGCCACCTGTATGCCCTCTCTGCCTTTCGGCAGCCACATACCCCTCCTCCCACCTGCAGCCCCTGTGTCACCCCAACAACCTCCAACACAGGGTTTAGCTCACAGAGGGAAAGGGACAGAAAGAAGTGTGCCCGCTCCATCTTTTCTGGAATCAGAATCAGAAAGTGAAGAAAACACAAGACTCATGTGACATTTATTCTGGTTGTCTTTTTGGTGCCCCCAGGGCTCACCACCTGGGCATTTCCTTCTGGACCTGGTGTGTGTTGCTGGACCTCCTGCTGCTGACCTCAGATCCCTGCTCCTTTCTCTTCTACCTCATTGCTTCAACCCCTGTCCCAGCAGCCCCTCCCAAGGACCCAGCGTATAACCCAGCCTGAAAAACTACCAATCTCTTTGGACTGCACGGTAATAGATTCTGCTCTGTGGGTAGCCCGCCCTTCCCCGCAGATAGTCTCACATCTGTGAGGGGTGAGCCGCCAGTGAATAGGTTCCTAGCTTTCATAAGGCGGTCTCACCCGGGACAGAGAGCATCTCTGAGCTTAAGCACCAATCTTACCATTCATCCTCGGAGCTAGAGAGAGCTAAGCCCTGAAGTCCTAAATTTTCTAGTGAGCAGTGAAAAGGGATTTTCAGATTTTTGTGTTCTTTTGAAACTTTGGTTCAGTGCAAACCATCTGCACCACCTGTATGTTATGGCTGTCCACACACTCCCTGCCCAGGAGCCTGTGGGGTCCCTGAGGTGAGGACCCAGCTTGGCCCATGGACCCCCAGTGTGCTCAATTAGGGCTGCTCAATGACTGAGTTAAAATATCTCCTTGTCTGGCCCTTAAATCCTCGCTGGCATTTTGTTCTGTAAGAATTCCTACAGGCGGGACAAGTGACGGAGCCTGATTTACCTAGTGTTTCAGAGAACAGCAGAAATACACACAGTTGCAGCACACTGACACCCAGGTGTGCCCAGAAGGCTGCTGGGCACAGTACCCAGAGACTCTGCCCCCCCCATCTGTCTCCAGCTGCAGAGCCCGGTTCCCATGCATTTCCTGAACCAATCATTTCTTCCCAGTGGGGAGAGGTGGACTGAATTACCTGGCAGGCATCGTAGCTGGCATTCTGGTACCCGGCACACAGCATGTTTTTGGTGAGTTTTGTAAACAGCTTGGAACATTCCTTCCAGTCTGTGATGACCATTGGCACTTTCATGAGATCGCTTTTCATGGAGTCTTTTTCAGCTGGACCACAGAAAAGGGTCATTAGAAAAGCCACCAGGAGGCAGGTCTCCACGGAGACGACACAACTGGCTGTGCCCTATCAGCGCCCTGCACACCTCAGCCCCACAGCCCCGCCACCACCCACAGCCCTCATGGCCTCACCCTCTGTGGCCTCCAGTAGCACCGGGCAGCCCACACTCCCCCAAACACGCCGGGGGCCCGCTAGGCCCTCCCTCTCCTTTAGAACCTCGCCCCTCCCCAGCCAGGCCTGACTCCCACCAGCACTGCTGACTCCATTTCTCAGGGAACCCGGCTAGTGACCATTTCCCGGCACCGTCCTGCCTCATCAATTTGTTTTTCCCTTACTACTGCTTATCAGAGGCACGCAGCTCCCCGCATAGGGCCATGTGAAGCTGGTTTGCACCCCAGTAAAAATGCACAAGGGTGGGTTGTCTGCGACTCTTTGGAGGAGACTTCAGGGGGGTTGTGGTCTGGCCCTGCAGGTGTCAGGAATTTGCCCAGACTTATCTTCTTCATGAACTCTGAGCACACAGAAGTTTCATAACTCTTCCCCTTACTGGGGGTTTTTAATCTTGTGTGGTCCCCACCTGCTTCTAGCATTGAGAACTCCCTGGAGTCAGAGCCCAAGCTCTACCCATCATCCTCTACTGAGCTCCAGAAATGCATGCACACACACACACACCCCAACCTAGACCCCAGCTCGCTCCATATTGCCCCATGGGCCCAAGTCTGTGCTGTCTCCATGACACCCTGCCTGTCTGCTTTGGGCTTTGCCACGTTTTCCGTGGGGCAAGCCAGCAGGGCTTTCATCACACCTTTCTGCCCTGTATGCCTTCTCCTATTCTGGCCAAGGAACAACCCCACAAGTAACAGAGAAACTCCCAAGAGCGTTGGGCGGGATGTCCCTAGCCTAGACTGCCATGGGCATCAGGGATGATAACAGAGACCCATCCCTGGCCTGAGAATAAGAGCACAGCGGCCTCTGGCTGTTAACCAAAGGAGCCTGTACTGTGCGTGCTGAATAAGCCACGCCCAGGACTGCTGGACCTGGCATTTCAGCTGGGCCTCGGAGATGCCCACCCCCGGTGGGTGCAAGAGACCGAGAAGAGCCTTCATCAGTGGACAAAGGTCCGTCCAGGGCAGGTCTTGCTCCTGCCTCCTCTTTGCCCTCCTCTCCCCTCCCACTGCATGGCTCTTCCCCCCGCGGCTCTCCCCAGAAGCAGGCGTCATGTACTTGAGTTGGTCTGTCCCCATCCTGCCACCCAGCACTGGCGCCAGCTGACAGGGCTGGGCTGGGGGGGCAAGCAGATGGGCACTTTCAGGCCGTTGAACTCGATGGGCGAAGCCAGCAGCAGCAAACCGATGTCATTGTCCATGGAGACTCTCTTGTAGTCCTTGTGAAGGATGATGCTGGTGACCTGCTTAATTTCCATGTGCGGGCTGGTTAAGTCATTGGTCCCCACCACGATATTCAGTTCTTGGGGGCTGGTGGCGGCAGATAACCAGAGAAAGGGAGGACAGGAAGGAAGTCACAGAAGCGCACAGAATTCACTCAACCCCCAAACCTACATTCCGTATATTTCTAGGGACTTTTAAGATGGAGCTATGGGGCCTGTTGCTCAGAAGGTGGGGGGATTTAAAAAGCAGAGAGAGAGGGCAAAGCAGGACGGAGCAGCCCGGCCCCTCAGCAAATGAGACACCAACATGGAGCAGAGCAGAGGCAAAGCTCAGTGTGGAAAAGCGGAACCCGCAGAGGAAGGCTTAGCACACATCAAAGTGGGATACGGCATCACATACCAGTGACTAATACATTGCACACATTGCTCACGTCACTTGGTCCACCAACAGTTCAGAGGTCCAGGAGCAGAGCTGAATCTGGTCCTGCCACTGGCTGAGCAGGAAGGCCCTTCAGAGATAAGGCGCTCTAGGGACCTGCTCCAGGCCGGCTGGGAAGGCACTTTCCGGGTGCAAATCTCTTTATCCCATGAAAAAGGTGCTAAAGGAAGGCTCTTGTTTTGCCGGGGCAAAACTCTATAGGGTTTTATTTTGTTTTCCAGTGCTGGGGATTGAACCCAGGGCCTCATGCATGCGAGGTAAGTACTCCACCACTGAGCTGCATCCCTAGTTCTGTCCACAGGGTTTTGGTCCAGCCCTCAAAGCCAGCTTTCTGGGTATTTTCCAGCTGTCTCGAGGAGGTAAAGCTGAATGTCCATGTGCCGAAGCCGGGATTTCAATCCTGCCTTTCTCTATTGGCCCCGGGCCTCAGGTAGACTGCCTGACTGTAACCGGACCACAACTCCTCACCCGGCAGGAGCTGCTTCTGCCTGCCCCGGAGGGTCACTGCATGGTTAAATGAGTTCACGCAGGTGACGTCTTAGCAGGGTGGCTGGCACATGGTTAGTTAGTAAATGCCTCTGTCTGCAGACGGCCTGGTCGGATGCCTGGGAAACCGGACTCCCAGAAGGGTTCTCTCCTAGGAGCACTCAGAGAGCACGGTGTCCTCTGGCTCCTGTGGCTGCAGGTGCTCCGTGACCTCGGGGCAGCCGAAGTCCCTGCTCCTGTCCCGGTCTCAGTCAGCTGCCCCAGTGTCCCAGGCTGGCGGGGGACTGTCCTTCCTGTCCTGTCCAGCTCCAGAGGGGACAGCGCTAGGCTCTCTCCAGGCGGTAAGGTCTGGGTGAGTGTGCGGGTGCCCTGGGACCATGCTGGCAAAAGTGCCAGCCGCAGCGCCTGGGTACTCACGCTATTTCCTCGAAATTTAAGCAGTGAGCAGCCGTGAGAATCCACCACGTGCTGAGGATGGCGCCGCCACACACGTGCTCATTGGCCACCTGAATACTCACCTGCCACGGGAACTCACCCTCCTCAGCCTCCATCCCCCCGACGATCCGGGAATACCGAGTCCTGCCCTCGAAAACGGGTCTTTCACCGCATCCTGCAGGGACGGAAGCGAGCGGGGGGGAGGGGCTGCGTCAGCACCCACGTGGCCAGCAAGGCCGGAAGCGGGGCTTGGACCCGGATGTCCCTGTTCCTGCCCTGTCCTGGCCTGCAGGCTCCTCTTGTGACCCCAGGAAAGGGGTGGGAAGCATTTGAAATGCTGTCCCCACCCAACCCTGGTGTGGTTGGTGGAACAGTGCCGCTCCGAGAAGTTCCAGTTCTCTGGGCCGCGCCCTGGGACCTGTGAATATTTTCCCTCACGAGGCAACAGACCCTTGGGGAGATGGCATTAAGGTCACTAATCAGTTGACCTCAAAATAGGGAGCTGTCCTGGATACTCCAAAGGGACCCCCTCTAATCAACAAGGGCACTAGGGAGCTAGAGAGGAGCACAGGCTGAATGTAGCACAGGTCAGGCCCTGGGTTGCATCCCCGGTACTGAAAAATTTAAAATGGCAGAAGAAAAATCATTCAACAGCAGACATGACTAGAGAAGCAAGAAAGGCCCAGAGAGGTGCTGGCCTAGGGGAGTGGCCGAGGCGTGGGGCTGGGAGCAGAGGGCGGCTGCTGCGGGGATGGGGTGGGGCTGTCCCTCTGCAGAGCTGGGCCTGGCCCCTGCCCTGGCCGGAATCTCCAGCTTACTTCCCGAGCAAGGGCCCGGCTGACTCTACCAGCCCGACCCCCCACGCCCCTCTCCCGACGCTACTTTTCCAACATCAACTCACAGCAGCTTTGAAGATTTCAGAAGGTGGGTTGCAGTGACCCAGTGGGGTAACGTTTGGTTAAAATACACGGAGAAATTAGCAGTGTGTATCAAGAAACTTTGGCCATCAGGAGTACAGAGGAGCTCTCAGGACACTTGGACTTGCACTTCCTCTATTTTAGTCACTAGGCACACAGTGCGCCGGGCACCTTATGAGGGCCGATTCTCTTTAACGTTCACAACCACTCCACCAGTAGCTACTGTTATTTTCATCCCCATTTTACAGTTGGGACAATCAAGGTGCAGAGAGGTCAAGTGATTTGCCCAAACTCACGCAGCTTGTCACTGGCCTGAGCAAGGTTTCGGGAGTTGAGGGTAGTGTTCTTCCCACCCCCATTGCTGCTTTGCTGGAGGCTTCTTCTCTCCACCGTTGCCTGGTTTCTCCCTCACGGGGTTCAGGCCAGAGACTGCTTCTCCCTAGAGGCCACTGCAGGCCTGCGCCTAGCCCTGCGCTCCTGTCCTGGCTCCTCTGCGTCTCTTCCACTGCGGTACAGTCCCTGCGGTGCCAGCCTGGCGGTGACGCCCTCTTTCCTAACTCTGCCACAGATATTAAGTGCCAACAGGAGACAGGCACACTGGGTGATGCTGAGGCCCTGAGAAGCACTCAGCAGCCACAGGGGTCCTCAGATACAAGGATTCCGCCCTGGGAAACGCCTCCAAAGGGGCAAAGCTGGGCTGGAAGACGCCCACTGCCATGATGGTTGGGATAGCAACAAACTGAAAGCAGCCTAAACGTTAGGGCTCAGCAGCGCCCCCATCACCTGGATCGTTAACTACAACCCAGCCATCAGAATGCTGCTCCTGGGGAATTTTTAAGGATGTAGGAAGATGCCTGTGATATAAAAAGTCAGGACACAAGTTCTGTTTCAAACCTGTGACTTCTGTCATGTCAAAAATGTGCATGGAGACGCGCAGAAGGAAATGCATGCAGACACCCAGCATGTGAGGAGCTTGACTGGCCGGCAGGTGACTGTCACAGATGTCCCCTCTCTCTGAAGCACAGCCGTGCCACTTGCCTAAAACTCTGGAGCAGACAGCAGAGCCTGACCCCTGGCTACCATTTGCTTGTCGCCTGATTTGGGGAAGCTAATTCTCCTGCTCCTCATTCCTGAGGGCCCTGCGTGGTCTTAGCTTGCGAGACTGATGTGAGGACAGAATGAGGCAGAGGCTGAGGTGCCTGCCAGATGCCTGGCACAGCAGAGATTCGGGCAATGCTGGCACAGCTGGCAGAATGTCTCCTATCCGTTTTGCACCAAAACCACCCAGACTGCAGCCAGGTCCGTCCTCCCTGCCTGTCAGGGCACCACCAGCATAGAACCATGTGAGGTTTGGGACCAGCCCGGAGCCCAAGCCTAGAAGCCGCGGGGGCTGCGGAGAGGGTGGGGAGTGACGTGACTGATGGTGCTTTTGGGTTTCCTTACAATTGGACCTAAGGGGCCAGTTCTGCTGATGATCTCCCTATGCCCTCCCCCACACCATGCTCCTTTGGTGACCCCAGGCTGGACTGAAGGAAGCTGGGTGACCAGGCTGTGCACTGTGCCAGGGCTGTGGGAAGCAAATCAGGCAAAGAGCTCTGCCATTTCCCCGTGAGTGGCTCTGGGCAAATCCTCAGCCCGCAGGAGCTCTACCCCGACCAAGGGCAGAAACTGCCTGGCAGTGGGGTGCGCACGTTAGACAGGGGAGTGCTGGCTGGTGACTACGCCTGGAAGAGGCAGCGACTCCTTAGGGAGCTGGGAGGGGCTGCCTGCGAGGACAGAACACCCTGGAGCTTGGCCTGCTGAGGCTGCCAAGCTGTCTGCTGGGGGAGAGGAAGAAGGAGTGGCAGCCATGGTGGCTCACACCTGTAACCCCAGCACTCGGGAGGCTGAGGCAGGAGGATCAGTAGTTTGAACCCAGCCCGGACAATTTAATGGCTCAGTGAGACCCTGGCTCAGAATAAGAAATAAAATTTTAAAAGGGCTGGGAATGTAGCACAGTGCAAAGGCCGCTGGGTTCAAATTTTTGTACTCTCCGCCACCAAAAAAAGAGCACTGACTTCAAGGAAGAGTGGCCTGGGACGTCCCACTGTCATCTGCGCTCTCGTGAACAGGCCTCCTGGTGGCCAGTGAGCTGGTTTCTGAGCTGGGCTCCTAATGTCCCCACTGACTGCACAAAGGGATGTGGGAAGGATGACTTCCTGCCCAGCCCTGCCCAGCCCTGCCCAGAAAGCTGCTGGGGCCCTCGGAGAGGAGTCCACGTACCGAAATCTGCTGCCCTGGCATGGGGCATGAGCAGCAGAATCGGGAGCAGGAGCATGATGGGCTGGGTATGCCGGGGGTGACGGAGGCCAAGGTCAGGGAGGGACCCCAGCCTGACAGCAGCCTTCTTAAGGCCCAGGGGGCTGCGATGTCACAAAGGGCATGGGCCTAGGTCAGGCAGATTCTTCCCACTATTTTGTTTTCAAGATGGGTCCCCCAGGGAAGTCTGCAAAGGCTTTCTGATCTGGGCCACCTTCCGGCTGAGCTGGTGTTTCCCACTTTTACCTGGTGTCCCCAGGCAGCCTACTTCTGGCTTCAGCCACACCCAGCCCTTCTGCAAGGGCCACATCCTCTGCCCTGGGCTTCTGTGGGAGGTGGGTGGGACGTGGGGATGTGGGGACCAGGACAGGAGGAGCCCAGGAGACCTGAGGCCTCTCCCAGCACTCATACCCTGTGTGTTCCAAGGACCCTGACCAGTGGTCTCAGGTATGACTCTCACGGGCCATGTTCAGGGGTCCTGGCCACCCCTCAAGCCCTGCCCAGTGGGCCATGTTTCCTGGTCCCTGCACTTCTGGATCGAATCACATGGTCTCCCAACCCCGGGCCACACCCGTCCTTCTTTTCCTAAAGGAGGAGATGTGAGACTTAGGAGGAAATGCCCAATACGTGGTCACCGCACTGCTGGGCAGGATTTGCACTTCTCTGTGTGCTGACTTGAGTGGACTCACCGGAGCCCCCTGGCCTGCCCATGTGGCCACCGGCTGGGCCCCAGGGCTGGAGGAGGCAGCGATCACTGCCCTCACCACAGCGGCCACAAGTCCCCAGCCTCTGCGTGTTCCTGGACTCCTTCCGTGCAGCAGAGGCCTCCAGTGCTGCCTGGAGAAACCCAGGGTGAGGCGCGGTGACTGGGAGGCCCCTCCACCACTGAGGACACAGCTCTGGCTACTTCCGGCCCCTGCTCTTCTCTAGCTCCCAGTGATGGCTCTGTGGGCACAGCCTGTCCTGGCTGCCCAGTGTCCCCTCTGCAGGGGGGGCACTGCCTGCTGAGTGGCGCTGGGATGGTGTCAGCCCCGCCTCCCTGGTTAATACCTCCCCTGCTCCTCAGGCTGTCCAGGGGTCACCTGCCACCCCAGCCCTCGTCTCACCACTCACTCTGGCTCCTGGTCCTGGGGTGGCCTCACTCGCTGTGCCCTGGTTTTACTTCTGCCCATCTTTGGGCAAGTCTAGGACACAGATTGGAGAGCAACTTCAGTATTCTCAAGGGGAATATGAGGAACTCGGAGACGGAAGAAGGCACAAGAGGAGACAAGTGTCCAGTGACCGTTGCCAGCGGGCATTCTCCTGGTGACAGCATGGGAGTGCTGGCCCGGGGTCCTCTGACTGTGCTGTGCAGCGGGGTTGGGACGGAGTCAGCAAATAAAAAGAGGGCACCTGTGCAAATTTGCGTTTTCTGTTAACAAGAGACTTTTTAATACGCCCCGCACAGTGTTCGGCACATGCTCACACTAACAAGGACATCGCTGATCACCTGCAGTTCATGTTGAACTGGTGCCCATGTCTTATCTGGCAGCCCTGGTGCTGATTTCCAGGCTCGCCCTGCACATCCCAGTGCTCTGGAAGGGGTTGGCAGGGTAGGGAGCCGGGTGTGTGCCTTCTCCCAGCCTCTCCCGGATGTCAGCCAGATCCTCCCTGGGACCCGAGTCTGACCCACCCCTGAGAAATTTGGGGCGGGGATGGGCAGCATGGCTGCAGCCGCTGTGGTCTGGGAGGGATGCTTCCAGATAGGGACTGACCTGGACACCAGCATTTGTCTGAGACCTCTTGGCGGTGCTCAGGGACAGATGCTGGGGGTGGCCCTGGTCTCTGTGCCATGGTCTTCCGGCAGGGACAAGAGGACCACAGAAGGAGCAGGCTGGGATGTGCCGGCAGACACTCAAGGGCTGAGAAAGCTGAAGGCACCTTCGTACTCAGATCATCCTTGTGCACCAGCGGGGAGCATGAAAGAGCCAGTGAAAACCCCACCTGAGCCTCGGTCTTCCAAGCCCACCAGGCCGGGACGATGGCTAGCTGACGCCGGCTCGCCCCAATCTGTGCTGCCGCCACCCTGGCCCTAAGCCCCGGGGGAGGTGAGCAGAGCCAGCCCGGCTGCTGACCAGACCCCGGCCAGGGAGGGAACTGAACGCCGACTGAAGCTGGACTCAGCTTATAAGGGTAGGCTCAGCTGGTCCTTTGTCATAGTGGCTGTAGGGTGATTCCAAGAATTATCAGCAGAGCCACGAGGCCTCCTTGAGCTTTCTTATCTGAACAGGATAGACTGTCCCACCGCATGACATCCGAAAGGACAGTGGAGAGCACAAAGCTGGGCCTCCTTCCTCGTCTGTGCGTCACTCCTGTTTAAACACAGCAATAGTCACAATGCCCACGCCATGAATAGGTGCCTTTGCTGCAGGGCTGTCCCCAGGGCCACTGGGGAAGGTCGTGGCTTCTCTAGCACAGTGGCTTGCTGGACAGACCCTGTGAACCCTTGCCTCAAGCCACCCACCCCTGTAAGGTGGTGGTAGATGTGACAGTTGGTCACATTGCTTCCTGCTGAGCCAGGGATCCACCCAAACCTCTTCCAATGGACCAGTTTGGGCGGCCGTTACCAGCAAGCGGGTGATACCCATGGTCATCACTGGACTAGGACCTTACAGGCACAAGGATCTCACCAGGATCCAGCGGGACGCAGAGACTTGGGACAATACACGTGCCTAATCTCTGACATTCACCCGGACTCGCTGTCCTCGAAGGAGTCCCCCTGTCCACAGTGCCCCACGCCACCGAGAAGTGGTCTGCAGGCTGCATTCGTGCGTGTGGGCTCTGGAGGCAAACTGTAGGAGTCAATCCCTGCTTCCGCCACCTCTGTGAGGGCCTTGGGCAGGCTGCTCCGCCCTTGGAGCTTCTCCTTGTATCTCTCTGCAAAGCCTATAATAGCACCGACCCCAAGGCCTGGGAAGGGCAGCTGCAATCACAGTGACTACTGCAGAGGAGGGGTCCAGGGCACCTTTGTTGCGATGATGATGATGTTCTGCAGCTGGGTCACAACTTTAAACGCCTCCTTTGCATTTGGAGTCGGTGGCAGCTCGTGGCTCCCACTTAGCTCGGTTACCCGATGCCAGGGTCAGAGGTCATCTCACTACGGCCCCCTCTGCTTCCAAGTGATGTCCCAGCAGGAGGGGCAGCGAGGCGATTTGCTCTGTGACTTCCTTCTAGCCCAGGAGTTTGCATTTGCCATTACTTTCTTTATATATTATAAACATGAACAAATCAATTTTATTTAGTATCAAGGAAAAAGTCAATGTAAAACTATAATGCAATAGTGTTTCATGTCTACCAGAAAAGTAGAAATTTGAAAATAAGAAGAACCGGGGCTAAATTTGACACTTGTACAGCCCTCGTGAAAGTTAAAATTGGTGCAGACAATATAGAACATAAGTTAGTCTTTTGTAACAATTTTGAAGTCACGAGCCCTATGACTCCACATCTTCCCCCTTTAGAATAACCTACAGAAAACCTCATACTCATGGTCCAGAAAACCCATGTGAGAATATTCACAGCAGCACTACCCAGTGTCAGGAAGAACCTGAACCAACCTAAATGTTCTTTCATTGTAAAATAAGACTTAAATTTTTGGCACCTTCATTCAATGTAATTTTATACAGCAATAAAACAGAAAGTATGGATATGTGTAAGAACATAGGCAAGTCCCAAGATATACTATTGACTTCTAATAGTCACGGGATATGGATTGATTCTATTTATATAAAGTTTAAGTACACTGCTGTCCCCTTGAAGCTGCAGAGTAATTCTCTCAACTGGGTCAGGGGAGCCCCTCCAGTGTTTCATGTAGCAGGAGAGACCGCAGACAGGGTGAAGAGGCAGGCCAACCTCACCGGTTACCAAGCAGCGTGCCAGCACTGAAACCCAGACCCGCCCAGCTCCGAAGGAGGCTGCCCCTCTGTGTGCTTCTGTAACAGCCTGATCTGGGTCTGTGTCTCATGAATGTGAGGACAAAGGCGGCAGGAGGAATGTTTACTAAGAAGAGAGAAATAGCTCTCTGTAGTCAGAAGGGGACAAGCAAGGGGGTTGCCAGTGGGACTTTTCATCTAGGAGTTTTTATGCCAAAGAATGGCTAGAACCCAGATCACTCCAAGTCAGACTAAGGTTAACCTCGGACGGAAACAGATTACTTAAATTAGAAAGGGGTCTAGGAGGAGTTGAGGCATGTAGCAAGCATAGTCTGCATGTGCCTGCTGGCCTCTGTCCTATCCAAGCGACTTATTTAAAGAACAAGGTGAGAAGGAGAAACGCTTTCCAGATAGGTAGGTGTAGAGACTGTCACAGCGGCATCCATCACTTTGCTTGCTACCTAAGGGCTTGTCATGTCCCTGAACTTAATTGTCCACCTGGTTCTTGTGAACTCTCCACCTCAGGCCTTTGCTTATCTGACCAAGGCCTGGTCATCCTACTGCGCCTTGGGTCCACCCCCCCCCACTATCTTCTGCCTAATGTGCCTGTCTCTTAATTCTTCTGACATCTGATCACTTCTAATTCTTGTATGATTTTGATTAATGCCATCAAAAACCCATGAAAGGAGAGGAAACGCCCGGTATGACTCGCCTAAGAGAATACAAGCCACTGGGAGTGGGGCCGGGACTGGAACTTCTCACGGCATTCACAGGTCAACCTCCAACCCTCCTCTCAAGCACTTCATTCATTCATTCATTCATTCATTCATTCATTCATTCCCACTATTTGCTAAATGTCTCACATGCACCAGGCACCATTAGGAACTGGAAAAGAATAGTAAAGAAAAAGAAAAAGCCCTCGCGCTCATCAAAGTTAGAGTCCAGTAGGAGAGACAGACGTAGCTCACGGCAGATGGTCACTAGTGCTAAAGCAGAGAGGGTGGGAATGGGAATCAGGAGAATGTTTTGGGAAGGGGGTGACAGGGCCCACACCTGACCCCTGAAAAAGGAGGAGAATGATCCTTGACGGTAACTGGGTGCTCTTGGATTTCGGGGACCTTTGTAGATAACTCCTGTTTCTGGCAGTGGGTATTTCATTTATTCAATCACCATGTATTTGCTCACTGAGTGGGGAGGCCTGAATTTGTGACTGAGAAGAGATAAGGTGGTGGCCTTCAAGGAAGTCAGAGGAGAGGGAGGCCATCTAAGAGCTTCTTTTTTGGTATCGGGAATCAAACTCAGGACCTCACACTTGCCAGGCGGGTGCTGTGCCACTGAGCTCTATCCCTGGCCTTTTGCAGGTTTTAAGAGAGGACTGAGATACCGTAAATGAGAAGGATGTGAACGAGAAGAGAGGGAGGCGGTGGACACGGAGAGAGTCTAACAGAGGGGGAGGCAGGAGGCACCAGTCCTCCTGGGAGCGCGCTGCTCATTTCCCAACCCACACCGGCTCCTCCGGGTCTGGCCATCACCACTGCTGCTTCTGGCTCTGCCTCGGCGCCGAGGGGTCCGTTTCCCTGGCTCCTTGGGCTTCATTAAGCCCCCTGGTCTCCGCGCATTCTCCAGGCCTCTTCTCCATTCTGTGACCCTGGAGAGTGGTGCCTCTGCTCCGGACTTCCGGGTCTGCAGGAGGCGCTGCTTGGGCATCCTGTGCGCCCTGGGCCACAGAGCCTCTGTGCCCTACCTCTCCCGCTTCTCGTTCCTGCGATTTCTCAGCAGCCCCTCTGTCTCCAGCCACCAGCGCTGCTCTCCTGCAGCACCACAGCCACTTCCCACACAATACTCTCTTTCCTGGTTTTGTCCTGCCTAAAATAATTTCCGTGCTGCACCCCTGAGTGACCCTTGAACACAGGTGTTAGCAAATGGTCCTCCTTAATTCCATCCCTTCCCCTGTTCAGAGCCCCTCACAAGACTGAGGAGGGCTATAGACAGAAATCTCCTAACAAGGTACATGAGGCCATTGAGCTGTGCTTGCAGAGACTATATAAACACGCCCAGAGACTCAAAGCTTTGAATGCTGGGCAGACGCGAGCCCTGATGGCTCCTCAAGTTGTTCAGGGTCAAGGGCGGGAGGGGACCACACAGACAAATGCTGGCCCGACCTGGCCCTTCCACCACTGCTGCAGAGGGAACGCCAGACAGGGAAAGGTCCAGGGGCGTGGGCCGATCTGCAGCCCCCCTTCCTGGCCCCAGGGCTTACTGTGATGTCACCAGGGTCCAGCTGCGCCATGCACTTGTGATGCTCACGGTTGCCGCTGTCATGGTGCCCATCCACGTAGGCTGGAGGTGAAGTCTGGTGATTCTGGACTTCTCGGGCAAGATGTTCTCGCTTCTAATTGCACTGCTCATGGGACTCAAGGGACAATGCCAGGATGAGCCAGGTGGGTGCCGGGTCAGCCCACAGCAGAGGGTGGGGAAAGCATGCCAGCTCGC